AGCTGGGATTACAGATGTGCACCACCAAGCCCGGCTAATTTTTATATTTTTAGTAGAGATAAGGTTTCACCATGTTGGCCAGGTTGGTCTCGAGTGATCCACCCACCTCAGCCTCCCAAAGTGCTGGGATTACAGGTGTGAGCCACCACAACTGGCCTGATAAATTTTAATGTTTTATAATAGATCTGTGTATATTTTATGATAGTAAATGATAGAACGGACTAGTATCTACATATATTTTATGCATTCATGACGTACCTAACTTTTTCTTATTTTTTTTTTCTATATTTCTAGGCTATATGGTTTGCAAATTTTTTAAAATGGTCACAAATCTTCAAAAGCTTTTCCAACATATTTACTGAAAAAAAAAAGGCCCACATATAAGTGGATCTGTCTAGTTCAAACCGATGTTGTTCAAGAGTCAACTGTATTGAGCTTTGTATCTGAGAGTGAAGTCGATGATATTGATAAGAGGAAATAAGTATCTCCAGAATGGTAACGAGGAACTCTGGTAACTTATTCAGGGCTTTGAGGATTCTAGTTCTTTTCTGGGATCAGAAAAGGGGACTTTTTACTTAAATAAAAATTGTGAGTATATGAAAACTCAGACTAAAATACATTTTAAGAATATTTTCTGGTATCTCTTTGTATAGGAACAGCAAGACATTTCACTTTATTTTTTGTTTTGTTTTTTGTTTTTTTTGTCGTTGTTGTTTTGTTTTTTTTTGAGACAGTCTTGCTGCAATGCCCAGGCTGGAATGCAATGGTGTGATATCAGCTCACTGCAACCTCTGCTTCCTGGATTCAAGCGACTCTCCTGCCTCAGCCTCCCGAATAGCTGGGATTACAGGCACATGCCACCACACCCAGCTAATTTTTGTATTTTTACTGCAGACGGGGTTTCACCATATTGGCCAGGCTGGTCTCGAACTCCTGACCTCAAGTGATCTGCCCACCTTGGCCTCCCAAAGTGCTGGGATTACAGGCGTGAACCACTGTGCCGGCCAACATTTCACTTTATTTTTTAAGTTAAAGAAACATTTCAGCTGCCTTGCTGTCATTTTCAAAAGAAACACTAGTTTGGTGTCCACAAAAAATACTGGAAAGCAATATACATCTTAACCGAAGTTGTTTTGAGAGGTACCTATAGTGGATATTTTCTTTTTTCACCTGCCCATCACTATATGGTTTCTTCTGGTAAAACGAATCTTGATTTTCTTTTGGAGGATGAGCTCTCCCCTATTCTCTGTCTCTAGATTTTTTTTTTTTTGTTTGAAGTGGAATTTTGCTCTTGTTGCCCAGGCTGGAGTGCAATGGCACGATCTGGGCTCACCGCAACCTCCGCCTCCTGGGTTCAAGCGATTCTCATGCTTCCACCTCCTGAGTAGCTGGGATTACAGGCATGTGGCACCACGCCTGGCTAATTTCTTTCTTTTCTTTTCTTTTCTTTTCTCTTTCTTTCTTTCTTTCTTTCTTCCTTTCTTTCTTTCTTTCTTTCTTTTTCTTTCCTTCCTTCCTTCCTTTCCTTTCTTCCTGCCTTTCCTTCCCTTTTCCTTCCCTTTTTCCTTCCCTTTTTCCTTCCCTCCCTCCCTCCCTCCCTTCCTTCCTTCCTTCCTTTCTTTCGACAGACTCTTGCTCTGTCGTCCAGGCTGGAGTGCAGTGGCGCAATCTAGGCTCACTGCAAGCTCCACCTTCTGGGGTCATGCCATTCTCCTGCCTCAGTCTCCCGAGTAGCTGTGACTACAGGCGCCTGCCACCACGCCTGGCTCATTTTTTTTTGTATTTTTTAGTAGAGACAGGGTTTCACCGTGTTAGCCAGGATGGTCTCGATCTCCTGACCTCATGATCCGCCCGCTGCAGCTTCTGAAAGTGCTAGGATTACAGGTGTGAGCCACTGCGCCCGGCCCTAATGAGACGGGGTTTCTTCATGTTGGTTAGGCTGGTCTTGAACTCCCGACCTCAGGTGATCTGCCTGCCTTGGCCTCCCAAAGTGCTGGGATTACAGTCATAAGCTACTAAGGCCAGCCCTGTCTCTAGATTAAGGTATATGAATTTGCCAATGAGACATAAACTTAAGATTTTATTGGAACTACTGGGAAATAAGTGCTCTGCTTATTTTGGAATGGTTAGCTATAAAGATGATATAAGTTGAACATTGGGGAAAGGTGGGGAGGTGGCAAGAAATCACTATGTGAGAACAAACTCTTTGAAGTCAACAAAGAGGAAAGGAGAGATCATGTCCTGATGTCAATGTTTGCATTCGTGAATCTAGTCATATCTGAAGTTACCTATCTATGGATTTTTCAGTTATTAAGCCAAATATACTCCTTTTCTTAAATCAGTCTAAGTTTTTGATACTTGTAAGGAAAAGCCCTGTGTATCATAGCACAAAATAATTTCATTTATTAAACATCACAAAAGGTCTAAAAATCCTCTTTCATATCTTTCTATACCTTGGTGTCACTCAGAATGTCAGCTGTGCTAAATCCCTAGTCTCACTCTCTCAAAACTCCCAGAAACCATCTCTCCTAAAGTCAGCTCATTCTAGGTCTTTTTTTCTTACGCCCTTACTCAAACTTTGCTGGTCATCTTCCTTATCCCGACCCCATCCCACTTTCTCCAAAACAAAAAATCTAACTGAGCCTTGCAGATCAGCCTAGCCTTCTGAAGCTCCTTTTGCTTCTTTACCTCTATTCCTTATTGAGATCAGCACAATTAATGCCTGTCTGAACAACAAATGATCCTTTCTCTTTGGAAGGGTGAAAGTATGGAAATATTTACATGTTAAATGTTCTGTTCTGGTCTCATTTGTATTCAGTACAAACAGTGTGTTTGCTTGGACATTAATTTTATTTGCAAATAGCTACAGCTGGGGTAGCTACAGCTATTTGGGTAAGTCTTGCTAACATACTGCATTGGTGGGTTTTTTGTTTGTCTGTTCATTTTGTTTTTGTTTTGTTTTTTAAGGGGATGGGGAAGGAATCAAAGTAGTCAAATCAGTTTGGTTGTTTTTACAAGCCTGAGAAATGGTCAAATTCTGGATTCAGACCAAGCACACCATAGTGTGCTAGAGGCAATTTAATGACTTCCCGCCCTCTTGCCTTTCCCCCCCTCTTTGGGAACATTCTTGGATTTTCTACAGAAACAGCCAGAGGCTCTCAATTGACAATTGCCTCACTCAGCAGTTTCTTGTTAAGCACATTTATCAGCCACTGTTCCCAGGACTCTCTTAAGTGTCCTAAGAATATTGACTCATTCAAAAGCAGCCCAGTTGTAGTTGGGAGAGCACCAGCACTTGCTGTATAAAGATCTAGATTGTCTCTCTACCTCAAGAGGAATCCAAAATCCTATTATGCTGGACTCTCAAATGATCCCCAGCCCTTTGGTGCTCACACTGTTTATGAGCAGTCTGAATTCCATTCTTGGGTCTACCTAAACCGGCACCCTCGGGCTATGGGGCCCAGTGGGGAGACCACCTAATATGCTGGCTGCCTGGAGCCCAGGGAACTGTCAAGACGGCTCTGGAAGACTTCTCACCTTTTAAAAGCCCCATATTTCTTTTACATATCTTTTCATCTTCATGAATTTTGCCAACCACAACGGACTAAAATCTATTATAGTGTCCTGGAAAGGTGGGGAAAAATGGGATAGTTGAATAGAGTTTAATGAAGGGACTATTTAAAAAGGTGTGGATGGGGTTAAAGGAAACCTCTGGGCATCATTACCCACCCCAGGCCTGAAGGGGCAAGGGTAGTTAGTGGTAACCAGAACCTGGAGAAAACTGCAGGAGAGGGCTACAGGATGGGAGTAATGGCTTTCAGATGAAGAACATAGCCACTGCTAACAGGGTGGCCCGCTGGGGATGCAGGGGAGGTCCTGAATCACATTCTGCCTTCAGATCTGCTGGTGCCTCCCACTTGCCAAAACCAATTGAAAGCCAGCTTATAGTTGACGTAGCCCATAAAGGCCAGTCCTGAGTCACAGAGTGGAGTGGACAGTGGGTCTGAAGGGACAGAGGAAAAAGCAATAGGCAACTCCTGTTTTTTCCTACAGTCAGCACCTTGGTTCAGCCCGCACCCTTTCTTGCCTGTTCCCTGGACCCATCAAATCCACTGCTTTTGATGACCAGTCTGTTTCCAAGAGGCTATATTCATTCCACTTGGGACTGGGGCATATGGACCTGGGTAGAAGAACTAGGTGTGCAGTGTCAAGACCCTTCCTTCAGAGACCTCATCAGTAAAATGTCGGGTGGACTCGGGATGCCCGAAGACTTTTCCGGACCACGATTTTCCGATGCTGGACACATGTTTAAACATCAAATAATCGACTTGCGACTTTTAAGCACAAACCATGGGTGGAAATGGACAGAAACTGCCTCCCTGCCCACTTGCAGCGGACTACACAGCCCTGGCAGGCAATTTCTTCAAACAGGCGCCCTCCAAGGGCGTAAGCTAGAGGGGCCCGGGCAGGCGCTTTCCCGTACTTTGACCCTCCCACCTCGCGGGTAGAGGAAGTCCTTCAGTTCAGTCACAACCCTGGGCACTCCCGGCAGTCTCCGACTCCGGCGCGAGTCAGGTTGTGGGGCCGGGAGGGGGGGGTGGCGGCGGAGAGCGCAGGCGCAGAGTGTGCGCCGGCGGCGCCCCTCTCTCTCCGCACCCCTCCGGGCCGCGCCCGCCTTGATTTTCCCAGGCAAGGGCACGCCCGCCTCAGTCGCCTCTGGGGGCACCTTCCTCGCCGCGACACGCAGGTAACCGGGCCCCGGGAGCCGGTCGGCGGCGGCGGACTGGGACCTTGACCCTGCCTGCCCGGCCGCCCCACAGGGGAATGAGAGCGGACCCCGAACTCCACACACCAGCGTTTAGCCGCCACACCTAAGGGGCAGAACAGTCTTTTTGGGTAAGGGCTGGGTTGGAGGCGACCATCCCCGCCCGCTTTGCAGACCTCGGGGTGCTCTGCACGACGCCTGAAAGGCTGCGGGGCCCGCATTTCTCTGCGCTCACCTCCTGGAGAACTGGGACACGGGGACGGCAGGGCCAGCATCGGCTACGGCCCGGTTTCCCGTTTCTTTCCGCTGTCGCGTGTCTGGGCCCTCCTGCAGCGTCCATGATGAAAGCCAGGGGCTGTTGCTTTCCTCTCGCCCAGTAGCCCACCCAAGCAAGGGGTGAGTCCCTGTGGCGTCATGGAATCAATTTCAAATACAAGTTTTAAAAAAGGCTGGATGATTTTAGAAATATGGTCAAGAATTTGTATTTTCCATTACTCTCTTGTCTCATGTCCATGACTCTTGAACGCCAGTCTGTGGGCGCTGAGATTTTCGTGGTACATCGACAGTTTGTAGAAATATTTTCCCAAGGGAAGACGAGGGCAAGGGTTAGTGGAGGAAGGGCATGGTCACGGCCGAGAGTGGCGGAGGAGGCTCAGGGAAAGTCAGCTCAGCCTCCAGCAGCCACGGGGAGGAAAAGGCGAATCTTTCCTGACGGTGCTCTGGGCGCTGTAGAATTTCTACGCCACGTGCACCCATTTGGCCTCATTTGACAGGAGGAGAGGGAAAAAGGGTCGCGCGGACCGGCAGGAATTCGTTTTGCGGTGTTTGAGGGCTCAGCGCGGATTTGCATCTCGGGCCAGGTTTTCTCCCGGCTCCGCGAGGAGCGAGGCGGAAAGCTCGCGGCCGAGTGACGATCAAGGGCCCGGAGATAGTAACGCCCAGGGTCCAGTGGGCTGGGGGCAGCTCCCGAGGAGCGATCTTCCTCCGCGAGAAAGGACTTGGATCAGGCTTGCCTGTGTCCGTGGTGCTGAAGTGCCTCGCGCGCCCTGGTCGACTGACTTCCTGGGCGGCGGCCTGCGTTGCCCTTCTACTCTGCACCTTTGCCAAAAATAGCCCATCTCCACGGCAGGTGGCCAGAGTGGAGCAGGCCCAACACTGAAACCCTTTTCAGACAAGTTGAGGCTGGTTTCCTGAACATAACATGAAAGCAAATTGTGGCTTGCCTTGGAGGTACAGATAAGCATATGCATAACAGATTTTATTACCTATGAGAAAGTACACACCATAAGCATAAACAGGAATTCTCACATATACTTATGAAAGATACAGGGATGTGTATTTACACACAAACCTAACACACATGCAAATACACTCATCCCTTTTGAAAACCATCATACACTACAAGCCACACATTTTTTAGAGCTTTTGTAATCCATCTTTATTTTTTGACACTTCTAGTAAATGTGAACTCTGCAGCACCATTTATTTTCATAATCATCTGTTCCAAAGGCACAGAGCCTGTGGATTGAAGTGTTTGGTATTTGGCTGAGCGATTAAGTATTTACACTCATTTAAATTCCAGAACAAAGTCTAGGAAGATGTAAAATTGATATTGATAGCAAAAAAATTCCTTAAAGCTTAAGGAAAATGAATTAATGTAAATTTTAATAAGGACAACATATAAATAATCTTATAGAAATTTATAATCTGAAGAACATGACTAAAATGTATCATAATGCAGACAATTTTAAATATATTGGTGGTATGTGGTTTGTGAAGTTCTTAAAGTTTACATTTGTATTTTTCAAAAACATTGGTATTGTTTTTTCCTCAAAAAAATATATGCTTATTGTAAGAAATTTAGGTAGTAGAGAAATGCATAAACATAGAAAACCATTGTAAACAGATTTTCATTTAGATGAACATACATACATTTTAAATGGACCAATCCTCTATTGGTTGCATTTTTGCTGTATAATTTATAATTAATGTCTTTCAAACCAATACATATAAAACTAGGTCATCATTAACAGTTGCATAATATTGATCTGTGTGGACAGAATGTAAGTAATTTAAACAATCCCATAATAATGAACATTTACATCCAATTTTTTGGACTTTAAAACAATTATTGTGGAAAGAATATGTAACATGAGATCTGTCCTCTGAACAAAAAAATTTTTTCTTTTTTTTGAGACATTGTCTTACTTGTTGCCCAGGCTGGAGTACAGTGGTGTGATCTCTGCTCATTGCAACCTCTGCCTCCCGGGTTCAAGGGATTCTCCTGCCTCAGCCTCTTGAGTAGCTGGCCACCACACCCAGCTAGTTTTTGTATTTTTAGTAGAGACAGGGTTTTACCATGTTGGCCAGGCTGGCCTTGAACTCCTGTCCTCAGGTGATCTGCCTGCCTCGGCCTCCCAAAGTGCCAGGATTACAGGCGTGTGCCACTGCACCTGGGCCTATCTTTTTAATAAAATTTTAAGTGTATAATACATCATTGTTGATATATATTGTTGATAGATGCGATGCTGTATAGCAGATCTTTAGAGCTTATGCGTCTTGCTTAACTGAGTCTTTATGCCTGTTGATTAGTAACTCCTGATTTTCCCCTGCCCTCCAGTCCCTGGAAACCACCATTCTACTCCTTGATTCTATGACTTGTGACTACTTCATTTTTATTTTTATTTATTTTATTTTTTAATTTTTGTGGGTACATAGGTATATATATTTATGGGGTACATGAGATACTTTGATATAGGGATGCAACATGTTTAATAATCACATAATGATAAATGGGGTATCCATCCCCTCGAGCATGTATCCTTTGTTTTTATAAACAATCCAATTATAATGATTTAAAAATGTACAATTCAATTATTATTGACTATAGTCATCCTGTTGTGCTATCAACTACTAGGTCTTATTCATTCTTTCTACTTTTTGTATCCATTAACCATCCCCAGTTTTCCCCACACCCCCAACCCTCTCCCACTACCCTTGCCAGCTCTGGTAACCACCATCCTTCTACTCTTTTTTCTTTTTTTTTTTTTTTTTTTTTTTTTTGGAAATTGAGTCTTGCTCTTGTTACCCAGGCTGGAAGCTGGAGTGCAGTGGCATGATCTCGGCTCACTGCAACCTCTGCCTTCTGGGTTCAAGTGATTCTCCTGCCTTAGTCTCCCAAGTAGCTGGGCTTACGGGCACCTGCCACCATACCTGGCTAATTTTTGTATTTTTAGTAGAGATGGGGTTTTACCATGTTGGCCAGACTGGTCTTGAACTCCTGACCTCAGGTGATCCGGCTGCCTCAGCCTCCCAAAGTGCTGGGATTACAGGTGTGAGCCACTGCGCCCAGCCTACTCTCTATCTCCATGAATTCAATTGTTTTGATTTTTAGATCCCACAGATAAGTGAAAACACGTGAAATTTGTCTTTCTGTGCCTGGCTTATTTCACTTAACATGATGACCTTCGGTTCCATCTGTGTTGTTGCACATAACAGGATCTCATTCTTTTTTATGCCTAAATAATACTCCATTGTATATAAGTATTTGTTGATGAACACTCAGGTTGCTTCCAAATCTTGGCTATTGTGAACAGTACTGCAACAAACATGGGAATGCAGATAACTCTTTGATATACTGATTTCCTTTCTTTTGGTTATATATCCAGCAGTGGGATTGCTGGATTGTATGGTTGCTCTATTTTTAGTTTTTTGAGGCACCTCCAAACTGTTCTTCATAGTAGTTGTACTAATTAATATTCTCACCAACAATGTGTGAGAGTTCCCTTTCTCCACATCCTTGCCAGCATTTATTATTGCCTGGATTTTGGATAAAAGCCATTTTTACTGAAGTGAAATGATATCTCATTGTAGTTTTGATTTGCATTTCTCTGATGATCAATGATGTTGAGCACCTTTTCATGTTTGCTATTTGTATGTCTTCTTTTGAGAAATGTCTATTCAGATCTTTTGCCACTTAAAAATTGGATTATTAGATTTGTTCTGATAGTTATTTGCCATTCCTTATGTATTCCGGTTATTAATACCTTGTCAGATAGGTAGTTTGCAAATATTTTCTCCCATTCTGTGGGTTGTCTTTTCACTTTGTTGACTGTTTCCTTTGCTGTGCAGAAGCTTTTAAACTTGATGTGAGCCCATTTATTCATTTTTGCTTTGGTTGGCTGTGCTGGTGGGGCATTACTCAAGAAATTTTTGCCCAGAACAATGTCCTGGAGAGTTTTCCCAAGTTTTCTTGTAGTAGTTTTGTAGTTTGAAGTCTTATATTTAAGACATTATTCCGTTTTTATTTGATTTTTCTTTTTCTTTTTCTTTTTTTTTTCTTTGAGGTGGAGTCTCCCTCTGTCACCAGGCTGGAGTGCAGTGAGTGCCGTGGCTCAATCTCTGCTCACTGCAACCACCACCTCCCAGGTTCAAGTGATTCTCCTTCCTCTGCCTCCTGAGTAGCTGGGATTACAGGCATGTGCCACCACGCCCAGCTAATTTTTTTTTGTATTTTTAGTAGAGACAGGGTTTCAGCATGTTAGTCAGGCTGGTCTCGAACTCCTGGCCTTGTGATCCACCCACCTCGGCCTCCAAAAGTGCTGGGATTACAGGCTGATTTGGTTTTTCTATGTGGTGAGTGATAGGGGTCTAATTTCATTATTCTGCATATGGTTATTGTTTTCCCAGTATCATTTATTGAAGAGACTGTCCTTTCTCCAGTGTATGTCCCCGGCACCTTTGTGGAAAATGAGTTTACTATAGCTGTATGGATTTGTTTCTGGGTTCTCTATTCTGTTTCATGGGTCTATGTATCTGTTTTTATGCCAGTACCATGCAGTTTTGGTTACTATAGCTCTGTAGTATAATTTGACGTCAGGTAATGTGATTCTTCCAGTTTTGTTCTTTTTGTTCAGGATAACTTTGGCTATTCTGGGTCTTTTGTGGTTCCATATAAATTTTAAGATTTCTTTTTCTATTTCTGTGAAGAATGTCATTGCTATTTTAACAGAAATTTCATTGAATCTATAGATTGCTTTGGGTAATATAGACAGTTTAACAATATTGATTCTTCCAGTCCATGAACATGAAATATTTTTCCATTTTTTGGTGTCCTTTTAAATTTCTTTCACAAATGTTTTATAGTTTTCTTTGTAGAGATCTTTCACATCTTTGGTTAATTCTTAGGTGTTTAAGTTGATTTGTGGGTATTGTAAATGGGTTACTTTTTTGATTTCCTTTTCAGATTGTTCACTTTTGGCATATAGAAATGCTGCTGACTTTTGTATGTTGATTTTGTATCCTGCAACTTTACTGAATTTGTTTATCTGTAAACAATAGTTTACTGATAAATT